ATAAAAATGGCAGGGAATATTATTTAGCATCATTGGAGAATAATTTTAGCAGCTGGAGAACATGGTTATATATATGCAACACAGTTTACAATTAAATATGTTTTTTATGTAAGAGATCGTATAGTTTCTCACCTTATATTGCAAAGAATGAATAGTATGAAGATAGTCTAGATCTTCATGAAGAAGCCTGGTTTTGTTTCCATTTTTTCCAGATGATTGTGAAATTTTAGCTACTGAAGTGAATCTACATAAGGGTTATATGGACAATAATCAAGTGTTAGTCTGAACAGGCAGATACTAATCACCACTTCCATTGTGAAAAGCCAGTGTTCTTGCACTGAAAAAGAGGTGCTGTCACTGAGACGAGAATCTGTTTTGCAACTTACAGAGTAAGATAGCTAAAAAAAATCATCTGGTGCAGTTCACATTTCGAAATGAAGGTCTAATTGATTTTAGAATAATGAGTTCCTGTCCATGAGCTGGTGCAGAAGCTATGCTTCAGTAGCAGTCAGCATTGCCTTCTGGAGAAGCTGATGGGAGATAAAATAGGCCCTGAGTACCTATGAATAATAGAGGGGTTTGGGGCCCATTTTTGTAAGAATAAAGGATATGTCTGAATTAAATTCCCTTCAGTATTTTATTGGACATATTAATTCTTTCCCTTTGCATCCCTTCACAAATGTATACTGCTACAATTTACTGTTAAACAGTAGCCCTGGCTCCTTCTCTAGGACACATAATCAAGGATTGTTTCCCTGCTTTTTCCAGGTGTTATGAGGTTTAATTAAGTTATGTTTCTATGGCACATTGAGGTCCTTGAAGAAAAGGTAGTGTAGGGTTGCTTCATTCCGTTACTGGCCAAACAGATTGCTTGGAAATACAATTTGGTACACACAGGTTGCACAGCTCCTACATCTGTGTGGTTTCCAAAGGGTGGATATTTTTCTTTCTCCTTTAAACTTCTTGGTAAGGGAGAAAAGGAGAAGGTAGGCCAAAGAGATGCTTAATGAAAGAAATCTTACACATGAAATCTTTCCAAGGAGGTTCCACTCTATTGTCCATTGTGCCTATCAGTTACAGTATCTTCTTTCTCCTGGGCACTACTCCAATAATAGATGATGCACAAATAGATGGTTTGCACAAATAGAAGTACCAGTAGAATTTGATATGGTAAATGGCATCTCTCATGAGTAGAGAGTCCTGGTGTGCTGTGTGGATTTGCTGTTAACTTTTGTAACATCCCCGTAAACTCATCTAGGCTAATTCTAAAGTACACCATAATCCATTTGTGTAAGGAAATTTCAAATTACCAGTCAAAACCTGTATTTTGGATAGTTTCCTGTTATTTATTTATTTGTGGAAAATGGCATGGAAACCAAAAAAATGCACATCCATATGTCAGTTCAGTTGAGGTGTGACCTTTTGAACCCAAGAGGTTTTCATTCTTTGATTCATTAAAGTTTTATCATCCTAAAACAGAGATGTAATTTTTAAGCAATGTCACTATGAAGACTGAACATTCTGGCTTCCTGATGTAACTTCAGATTACAAATCAGAAGACTGTTTTATGCCCTTCTTGTCCCAGCCCCTCAACTTGTGGTTGGATCAAGAATGTGAGCTTTTGTTTCCTTATTCCAGCCTGTTCCTTTCGCTTTCCATATATTTTCCATTGTTGAGACTGTTACTGGTTATTAGCTGACACTATTAGACTGGGGAGATGAGACTTTGCTGGTGAGAAAAGCGTAAAGAATTGAAATGACAGGGTTGTACTGGTACTGTGGTGGCTGCTCTAACTCCTGCTCAATTGTAGGTTGTGCTGTGATATTAGATGCCTTGTTGCAATGCAGCAAAATTAGATCGGTGCCCATGGGCCCTACCACAGAACTGTGAAACAACACAATGTTTTCCATGTCTTTGTACCAAGAATATACACTAACTTTGTAGAGTTTAGTGTATATTCTGAACTGTTTTAAGTGTTACACAAGCAGAAAACATCATATCTGCGAAGTGCATTGACAAAAATTCAGGCAATATTTTACAAACTGTTGTTACTGCTTTTAATCGTCTAATTTTGGATTAGTCATTATCTAGCACAGCATTTGGAATCCATGAGCTCAGAAACAAACTATGCTTCAAGGATAATATCAAACCAAGGTCTGCACATACCTGGGGCAGAGTAGGTCCTAAACCTACATGAATAATCACTAGAGGCATCGTTCATTACCGTTGATTTTAGTGCAGCTTCTGGGCTAAGTAGCTGAGCACAGTGATGCACTATTGGGTCTGCTTCTCTGAACTGGAGCAGAAAGGCTTCACTGAAGAAGCCTTTCTTCAGTGTTGTTACATACTGCTGTCTGAGCATCTCATTTCTAATGCTCACTATCTGAGCATTCTCACGTCTATTAAACAGCTGAAGTCTTCAGTTAAAATTCCTTTCCAGGTGCTTTCTCAAACTTACCTTTGGCTCCATTTTTGCTGGAGACATTCCCAAAACAGCATACTGCCTTTCTTTTCAGACTGTAGGACAAGAGGCTTTGCTGATACAAGCCTGACCATTTGCTCTGAGGTAGCAGAACCTTTCCATGATTTAGACCACTTGAACAAATGACCTGTATGTGACACCAATACTTGTTTCATATATCTCTACACAGTAGCTGTTCAGACCCAAATATTCATTCACCTAAATGTTTGAAATCATCAGTCTTATATCTGTTTCTGAGTATCTTCTTCATGCTTTTGCCCTTCACTAGTACATAGTGCCTACATGTGATTCTCCCAATGTAAAAACTCATATATTCAGTTAAACTTTAGGTTTGGAATATTCATTATCATTAGAAGATAAATGAGGCCCACAGAAGTGATTTTCTTACCTAGTATAAGTATCTTTTCCACCATTAAAACTGTGCTGAGGCACAAAAATGACTGGTCTGCAGTAACATGAGAAATAGGAAAACTGCCTGAGGAAAATCTGGCTCATTTAACTTCTTTCCTGATTTGTTCTAAAACCAAAGAGTTAATTAGTGGAGTTAAAGTTTCTGCTTGGTGAGAAGAACACTTTTTCTGCATAGACAAATGACAGTGTATAGTGCAGATTTAATTAAAGAGAACAGAGATAAGTACTGCATTGTATGCTAAAGTAATGTTTACTATAGCAACTGATTACTCTGCAGAGAGCTTGTTATTTTCTTTTCCAATTTAAAGTGAAGATAAGAAATATAGAAGGATGATAAATAATTCGATCTGAATTGTACCTTTTAGGGAGGTGACTGAAAGATACTGAGAACACTTATGTAAGAAGTAAAGCTGCAGAATCCACGGGCGATGTAAATTGGCGTAGTTCCGTTTGACATTACTGAGTGTTGCTTTACACCAGTGGAGAATCTAGCTCTCAAGAGTCCTCATAAAAAACTTTGCTGTCTTCAAACCGCTCTGTGAAGATTTGGACTTCATTGTGCAATGGCCTGATAAATTATCCTTCATTTCTTCTGAGAAGGCGAGGGAGAAATGATTGAAAACAGCACTGTTGTTCTCTGGAAGAAAGCTGTAGGTCATAAGGAAGGGACAGTATCCTAATGCTGGTCAGTTCCCATCCTTTCAGAGCCTACACCTTTGTCATTTCTGCAATTGTTGTAAATTGTTTCCTCTCCCATTTCAGTCTGGTGGTTGCATGTGGTGTGAGAGGCTGGGCTTCTGCTGAAGAGGTTGACTCGAAACAGTTCTATCCCACATCCATTATATGACTTTGGCAAGCTGAAGTGCTACTGTGTGCCTCATTTTCTTCATCAGCATGCGCCTTCTAAAAGCTACTCTTTCTTTTCCCACTGTCCTTTCTGAAAGGCTTGATTGCTGTAGATGAGAAGTGGTCTGGTGTTTAAATTCAAATGATTTCCACTAGGGCATTGCCTCTGCTATAGGAAAAGTTAGGACCACAGCTCCACAAGATGGTGGTAAACAACTTGTGTCTTAAGTTAGCAGTGGGCACTTGATCCCTCAGCCTGATGCAGTGTGCACTTCAGGATCACAGAGACATGTACCAGGTGCTCACTGGAATCTGAAGTGCTGAAAGCATTCAGGTCACGTTTCCAATGGGGCAGAGCAAAGCCAGACTTGACATGTGTCAAATTTATACAAAAAGAAAACTGGATCATGTAAGCGTCATTATTATTTTTTATTATTAATGGGTATGCATCTCATGTAATTGTGGCATAAGCTGATGTTAATTAATTCCAAATAGCCTGTTTAACTAGAAAGTTTATGTTGTATTTCATTACTGTAGGAGGCTCTGGCTTTCCAAGTTTCCTCAAAATGAAACAATTTTCTTTTCAAGTGTACATCACTGAAGTCAAAGAGACATAATATTCCCAACTGTATAAAACAGCCTGTGGCAACTAGGTTAGAGCTGTCAGTTTTACACATGGGGTGCCTGACAAACATATTATACATACAATTCAAGGCTGACCTTATACTGCACCTGAATTTAAATCTGTGTACTGCACTATGCTTTATATCCTAAATAGGCTGTTAATACCCTCTTGCAGCCCTTCTCTTTTATAATGGGCTGTAACTGCAAAATCTAAATTGTCGTGAGCAGCAGCCAGAAGGTAATACCATAAAATTAGTTAATTTTAACATAAAGATGCCAAATCACTGCTGCACACATTTGAAAAATACTTTCTTTTAAGCACTTGAGTGTTTGCAGATAAGAAGAATGTTCCACAGAGATCCACCATATTTTCCAAGTGTTTTCAAATGTCTGGTGTCTCGAAAACACAAGGAATGAGAAGATGGTCAGCTTACAGGGCTGGGAACCTTTAAGACAGAAATCCAGCTTTGAAAGAAGCCCAGAGAGTGAAAAATTATTTCAATGAATCTTTTCTCCAAATGTTGCTGCATGAGCAGCTGTATACAATGGGAAAATCATAACAATCCCTGCAGATCATGGTGTTCAGCTGCACCTACTCACAGGGCTATCACACGGACTGTGTTGCAGCTGAGAGGCTTTGCACACAGGCGGTGGTGAGAGGTTGTGTGGTCTTTACTGGGACGTGTGCCCAAAGTCAGCATGCCACTGCATGAGCAGGGGATGTGCCTAACACAGCAGTGGATGCCTGCTGACGCAAAGGTGGTGAGTGTTTTATCCCTGAGCTCTTGCACATCTTTGTGGGCAGTAGGCTACAAGCAGTCACTGTGCAAGTGGATGAGGGCTCTTGTTCATGTAATGTGGAGGATAGTTTGCTAAGCTATCCTAGCTGAAATAAGGTGGAGGGTTACTAAAACCTCTTAATCCATCTGTAAGATCATCTCCTTCAAACTAGAAATTCCTGGTTCTGCTTGCTTGGGGTGGCTGAGATACTAGCCAGTGCTTTCAAAAGATGTAGTAGAGTGATTTGCAGAGGATGAAGATCCAGTGCCAAACTCCTGTTGACTTCAGCAGGGTGAAATTTCTACTGTAACTTTAATGAGAGCACAGATACATGCACAACCCACAGAGCAAAGCAGCATGCTTCCTCTGCTCTTGTGCTGGGGAAATAATCATTTACTTCCTCTTTTATTATGACTGGAAGATTTTCAAAGTCTTTTCAAGGGATGGTGTAACTGCAGACATTGGGTGGGGGAAAATGAGAAAGGGGCAAATGTGAGCAATTTACTGCAGCTCAGTGTAAACTTCTGTAGGGTATACAGAAGGCTAAGAAGGGAGGACAGATGTTGAGGCTGATGCTTTGCCACTGCTCTACACGTGGGCAATCAGGCATCTCGTTTGACTCTCTTTTTCTCTCCCCACCTTATGCCTCAGCCCCAGGCAGCGGAATTTCAAAGCTCAAGTGTGTGTGGATTCAACATGTCTCAGAAATGGTTTCTGCCCACCTATGGTCACATAGGAAAACTGTTTTTTCTAGAGTAGGTTTAGAATGTTTGTGATACAGAATTTAAACACTGCCTGTCCTGAATGCAAGCTTGCATTTCATTGTGTCACTTAGGGACAACTGGGGCAGGTCTGGGAAGTGCTTCAGACTCAAATTTTGTTATGGCAGGTCAACAGTGCTGTAGTATTAGCTCATCAGTTCTACAGCCTAGTAAACAGAAATGTGAAAGGAATCATGGAGTTGAAGGGGGTCCATCTTCCTTCCATCTCTGTAGCCTTTCCCCAATGGAGATGTGGTCCATTAGCCCAGTGCTGTAACACTGCACACTCAGTAGCTATGTCCTTGCTCAAAATGCAAACAAATTCTGGTGCTTACTTTACAGCAGTATGTCTCTTATCTTCCATGTGCTTGCTGCTGCAGAGCTGTGCTGTTTGCATGTCAAATCACCCCCTCACTTCTGCTCAGAAGAACAAACGAGAGAAAAAAAAGAATTTCATTCAGCCAAGATAAACTCAGGAGAGGTCCAGAGCAAAGAGTCTGATTTCAGACTGACCCAGGCAGTGGGGAGGCTCAGATCAAGATCTCAGCCAGAGCTCTGTAAATCAGGCTTGGCTTTTTAGCTTGTTTCCAATCCACAACAGGAGCCGGTTGGGTTTGGCTTTGTGCCCTGTCTCTGTGAGCTCAGACTATGCCTGGCACCTTGAGCAACAATGGAAAAAAGACTGCTTTTCTTGGCATAAACAAATCCTTTTGGAAATGTTTTCAGGCATTTCAAACTGTTTGGAAGTATCCCATTTCAATCTGTAGATTCTCTTTGTTATTCTCCTACATGCAAATGTCAGGCATTATGCCTAATAGGTACCATTTCTTTTTAAATTCCTTTGGAAGTAAAATCCTTAGAACGACTGGTTTTGTTTCCTTTGATTTGTGTAGTTGCCACTCATTGACTCTTGTCAGACTTTCAAAATCTGGCTGCTATACTTGCTAGAGCAAATGAAGACTAGGGCATGGTGTAGCATGTATATCGTTATAGTTAAAGAAATGATTTCACACCAGTGGTGCTTTACTGACAAACACTACTACTTCATTGAGTGGATTAGTTTCTATAACTGATTGCCAACTTTCTTAGCAGGCTTGTACTCAGAAACTTTTAACGTAAGACTCTTTCTCTCCCTCCTCTGGAGACATCTATCTTGTATGCATTATGAAATGGGCACGGCCTATTAACGTATTCTTCCCTGCTTGGATATGACAGATACTCTCAAAGGAACTAAACTCATTTCTGCACAATGTGCTGGAGACTTGAAGAAGTAAACTATAATTTATCTTCCCTGAATAGCACTTCTCAGTTCAGTGCCTAAGCTGGATCACCTTCCTGTGAACTTTGCCAACGGATGTTTATTTGCTAAGGCAAAGCCATATGGGTTTATTTTTGTAATATGCAAATAATTTTACAGATAATGTTGAAAACAAACATGTTATCACTGATTTCCTATAAATTAGGTATTGCCATTGAAAAAAAACCTGACTAGTTACACAGATTCTTTTGCATTCTTGCATATTGACTTTTAATTATGCACTGTTTAATAAAACAAATATCAATGTCTTTCCCATCAAATGATAGGTAAAGTATACAGTCTCTATCATGACTGATTTTCTTAGCTCATCCTCTAGATTTTGTGAGGTGAATGAAAATGCAGAATCTCAGATTTGTGTTGAAAAGAAAAAGAAACAAAGGAAGCCTCTAACATTCAGTAACATTCCTACTTAAAAGAATACTTTGTGGAAGATGGGTTATATGTTTGGTTGGCACTGATTTAGCTGGCATGGGCAATTGGATGGTTTAAACATGGTCTGTTTATCACAACAAGATTTTTTCAAGGTGCCATTATGCTTCATATCCTCCTGTAGGAATCTTGGTTTGTAGGCTGAGGATTTGGCTTAGGATAGGAAGTATTCACCTGTCTTGTATGATCAAAGAGATAAAAATCCCTGGGTGTTAAGCATCAGTTCTCCTGGTAGGATTAGGATGCTAGTGTTCATAGAAGTGTACTAACCCTCAATGCTAGTAGGTAAAAGGGCAAAGAAGTATGATTCCTTTGGGCTTCTTCAGTAGCACATATTTGTTTAAACAGCTTCCCCTGTTGGTCAGATTATCACTTAAGCAAAGTCCTGGTACTGTCACTCAGGGAAGAGCCTTCGTCCCTAGAGATGAGCAAGCACTGAAAACAAGGCCTGTTCACTGTCCCAGCTGTCAGCTTCCCAAGTGTGGGCAGGCTGGTGTTTGCTGAATACCAACCCCAGCATCCCTCTGAATAATATAAGCTTTCTGCTCTGAAGCTCAAAGCTGTGAGATGATCCTGCAGCTCAGTGCTTCCTCTGCATGTTTCCTTACCTAGTCCTGACTTTAGCTGCTTCCCTTGTGCTACAGAGAGATATTCCCCCTTTGCAAAACAAGAGGGAGAAGTCACAAATACAAAGAAGTTAGTTTAGGAAGGTATGTTAGAAAACTAATAACTTCTGGTTGCCGTTCTGCATGTGGCAGTATTCTGGTTTTGTGGTTTCTAGCCTGCTTTTGCTCATCCTAAGATTCCTCTTGAGCCCACCGTTTCCCTGTAGCAACAATGGTAATTCCTCAACCTATGTCTAACATGTAGCTTAAAAGCACAAATAAAATTAAGCTATTATGAGAATGTTATTCACATACAAAACTATGGACTGAACTACTTTCCATGTGTTTTATTTGCTAATTAATCTGGAAGCTTCCCAGAGTTTATTTTAAAGGGTCCAGTTTATAGACATGTGCACCCAGCAGAGTACTCTGTGCTAAGACATATGTTTAGAATATATGGATGGGATTGCTTTATGTTCATATAAAGCGTAAATGTTGTGTTCTCCAGGTTGCAGTGTGGTGCTGTACTAAAATCCTGCCAAGAGAATGAACAATAGTTATTAGTACTTAAACTTTTTCTGTTACAGTGTAAAAAATACTTCTTTAGTCTCTGCTCACCTCTGCGTGACATCAGAGGGGGAGGCTCAGGAGTCCTAAAACACTTCCATTTGCTGTTACATGAAACACACTGACTATTTTCCATTGCTTTCACTGCCAAGCAAGCTGGTGGTAATTAATTCTTTGAAAAACAACCTTTTTTTTTTTCAAGTGGCAGAGCTGTTCCTTTAACAACTCTTTCTGTTAGAAAGTCATGGGCACTTAGAACCATAATGGAAAGATTTCCCAAACCTCCCTTTGTGAGAGAAGTTTGACTTTTAGACATAGTGGGTGGGTATCCATACCCTCCAATTTTAAGGGGAGTTTGACTTGTTGCTTTCCTTTAGATTCCTTCTGTAGGTGATGCTGACTTCCTCAGATATGATTCAGATCAAAAATAGACTAAGCCACCGTTTGGCTTAGTCTATTTGCATTTTTTTCTAGGACTGTAGAAGGTACATGGTATTACTGTCGTTATACCACAGAGACCTCAGATAGACACTTAATGCTGAGCTGAGCTGGGAGGAAAGCAGGATCCATTGTGTGTCCAACGAAAATTTACCCCATTCCTTGATTGGGTCAGAGACAGAACTACACTAAGCGAGGAATAGGAATTGCCTTCTTGTTTCAGTGAGCACCAAGAAAAACATAACTTTAAACCCATTTGTAGACAGATGTGCAGTTTCCAGTGAATTAGAAAGTGTTAACTCTATCTGTGAATCCTGGCATCAGGAAAGTACCTGTATGCAGTGTGCACATATTTTAAAGGATAAAGGTGGAGCAGTAGAGGTTCCATTGAAATCAAATCCTCACCTTCCGGAGTTGCAGTTTGCTCAGTAATAAAAGGGGCATGCAGATAGTTTATTAAGACAATCAGTTGGCTGTTGCCAATTGCATGTTAATTTACTATTAATAGTTGTTATTCAATAACTCCAGGACAAACACAAGAAGAAATGGTACTCTAGACGCATAGGTGTAAATGGTTCAATGTCATTCTTGGCTGGATGAGTTAATACTCACTGCTGTAGTCTCTAGTACCATGGAGAACATCTGTTCAGTGGTCAAACTGAGGTGTGTGTATGTCATGAGATATTCTGCTGCATGCCTCTAAGAGATGCATAAACCACAGAAAGCTGAGGATTAGCCAGATATGTAGCAACGTATCTTTGCTCTAGCACTAGTGTATGCATTTGGGCTATGAATTCCAAGTTCAGCCCTTACAGCCAGCAAACCTAGACAGGTGCAGGACATATATCAGCAAGACCGGCTGTC